GATGTTCTGTAGGTCAGTGATGTTCTGTAGGTCAGAGATGTTCTGTAGGTCTATTCCAGAAGTTTTGCTGCCCATTCTGAGAGTCCCTGAGAGTTTGTTCCTGTTCATGTTAAAGTGCTGTCAGTACCTGGGGGGTCACACCAGGTACTGACAGCAAAGGTCCACATATTTTTACTAGTCACAAATATGTAATCGTGGATCATTGTCCTCAATAAATCAATGAGCAAGTCTAATAATTGGTCTCATTAGTTTAACCTGCTTGTCTGTTTCTAGTTTGAGGACGTGTGTGAAGATGCATCAGATGTTTTGATGTTTTTATTCTGGTCGATGCAGAAATATAGAAAATTATAAACAGTTCTCAAAGTGTCACCACTGCTGCAGCTGAGGAATTCAACATGATTCAACAAACTATGAATGAATAAATAAAAGAAAGATTTAGTCATTTTCACACTTAAAGCTGTGCTCAATGACCCCGCCCCCCCGCCGGTGCGTCATGGCGCGCCGCCGCCACCAGGGGCCGCTGCGCACCAACATGTCGCCTCGGAGCGGAGGGAGATAACGGGAGAGGCGTGATGAGCCCAATAAAAGAGGGGAACACCTTGACGAGCCGGTACCGGAGGCGCCGCGGCGGGTTCGGTTCTGCAGGAACGGGAGGGTTCACGGTTAGGGAGGGGGGAAGGGGAGAGGCGCGCGCTCCGACATTTATGTTAGCGCTCTTTTCGAGTCTTTCAGCATATCTGCAGACGTGGGGGCCACTTTTCCTCCCTCCCACCTCCTCCCCAAGCTCAACACACCAAGACCTATAATTGGAGGCGAGCCAGTGACGCGCTGAAAATAACCAGGTTGGTACCGGTCCATTTTGGGGAGGGCCCAATCGACACGAGGGCGCAGCACCATATATCACCTCCTTCCAGCTGTTTGGAGAGCCAGCCCAGGAGCAGGAGCAGGAGCAGGAGCAGGAGCAGACTTACTCCGTCTTCTTCTGCTTCATTTCTCCAGAATGGAGACTGGGTGAGGGACTGGGTGCGCACCGGAGATTTCCCGGTGAGACGGAGGAGGAGACACTGTTGCATGCCCCCCCCGGACAGACAGCGGAAAAGATGGACCGAGGAGGAGGAGGACTTGTCTCCTAAGACAACCCGTCCCCACCTCCCAGGATGTTCTTGCTCATTTCTGGATGCGCGCAAAGTGAGCATATATCAGTGGAGGACGGTGGATGGACTGGGGGGTGGGGGGGGGGGGGGGGGGTGGGGGGGGGGGGTGGTAGTTGGAACTCCTTCCTGCGGGGAGCCGGCGCGTCGTGCGTGAAGAGAAGTCCTCGTCGGCTGCGGGATGCGGTGGTAGCAGCACCACGTGGGTATGTATGGATCACCTTAAACCACCTGAACCCCCCAGGGCTGAAGGCTCATGGGCGGAGGGGTGCCCTTGTGCCCCATGATGATGAAGATGAAGTGTGCGTGTCAGAGGCTGGGTCTTTGGGGGCAAGGTGAGTCCTCACTTCATTCAACTGGCCTACAAAGTCCCAGTTTCTGGCTCACGTGACCCACAATCCCCAAACTGGACTCCTGAGCTCAGAATCAGCTGGAAAGGTACGGAGCAGGGAACAGATGAGGTTCCAACAAATGATCATTAAATCCGTTTCATTCTCAGCTTTTATTATTTTAATGACCCGAGCCAAAGTCAATCACAAATATGAAATGAAAAGGGCGGAGCTTAAAACTAAAAGACTGTTTTAAATTCAGGTTTAGTGAAATGGTTTGACTGGTCAGTTTTTGTACTGGAAGTTTGTGAAGTCGAAGTTTGAGCGGCGCTGCTGGTTCCAGTTCTGAACAAATGTTCTTCTTGATGGATTCATTAAACACTGAACTCTGAAGTCTTGATAGAAACTGGAGATCGAGCTGTGAAGATCCACAACGTGCCCTCAGGATTACGTGGAAGGAGTCAAGTGGGTGTGAGTTTAGGTTCGGAGGCCTGTTTCTATATCGGTCCTGACCCCGGCGTGCCGAGCATGCCTCCCTAACGAAGCCAGCATCCCCACACGACATGCCAGGAGTCATTAATGAGGCGTGCAGCCACGCTGCCATCTTTGTGCTGCCTCTGACACGGAGCTGCTCAGAACACTCGGCACCTGAAGCCTCGGTGTGATGAACGTGACGGAGTCCTTCCCTGACCCGTCACTTCTATTTACCGGACTCTTAATAAGCAGAGGCGATGTTAACACCTGGGTGGCAGCTCACTGCTGTTACAGTTGCTGTGGACTGACGTGCACGCGTTGGTCAACCTGCAGCTCTAATGAAATTCCTCCTGACTGTGGAGGTGACATCCTAACGCTGATTAACGCCCTGAACTTGATATTTCACACTCGTATATGCTGCAGCTGAGGGCCCAGGGCACGTGGACGGACCTGGTTGGAATAAAGCAGCGTGGGGCTCTGGACTAGTCACCAAGTCCTCTGGAGATACTGCGTCTCTGTGGCGTTCCGTCGGTTGAAGTCGGGCTCATCTTGACACTTGTTGCAGTTTCTCTTTCTCACCACGTCTGTTTTGAATTCTCCCCGCTCCGTTTGTTTAGCAGGCCTACTTTAAATAGACTTCCCCCACGGTTCCCCGGTCGTCCCGCGCTCTGGGTCAACGGGTTCAGCTGGTTCTTAAAGTAAACATCACGTATACGTCTGGAGCAGCATCGTATAGAAAGTGTTGCTGAGGATTGTGTTTACTCTGTGAAAGCTGATGAACACGGCTCGCTCCTTCTGGGAGACTCTGCCCTGAACTCGTTCAACCCCCTCTTTTAAAAACGCCTCTGCCATTACCAGTAAAACTGCCGTTACACAGTTCATACAAACTGGGAAGCCAGCTGAGCTTTCAGCCCAAATTGACATCGTGGTCACTTTAGATACCAAGCGTATGGACGGAATCACCTTCGATGAGCCAGCAAGCACTGCCGTTTGATCTCAAAAGTTTGGACAAATGACAAAAAGTTTGGACGAGAGACAAATATTAAGTTAGGAAGGGAGGGAGGGAGGGAGTGAGGGAGGGAGGGAGGGAGGGAGGGAGGGAGTGAGGGAAAGAAGAAAGGCAGCAAGAAAAGTGAGGGACTTTTAGGGGCAGCTGTGTTTTATTAACCCAGTCATAATGCCCCTAAAAATCCTTATTGCTCTTGCAATGGTCAACAAGTATCCTGTTGCAGCATGCCGAGGGTCCCTGAGCAAGACGTCGGGACTCGTACCCAAAAGACGGACCAAGACCTGATTCAGTCCAAAGCA